GAAGGAAGGAAGGAAGGAAGGAAGGAAGGAAGGAAGGAAGGAAGGAAGGAAGGAAACAAAAAAAAAAAGAAAGCTCACTCACAGCCTAACAAGGGCAATGGATATGTGATAATAACTATTCCATGAGATATGTTCTACAACAGAAGTACATTTAATGTTCAGAAATAGCACAAAAGTAGTAACATAAACACTGATCTTTGTAACATAAATAGGAGTTTACCAGGGAGGCAAGCATGAGGAAGATGGAGGATGGGTTAAGTAGGATGGGCTCAAAACAGGTATAGTGTGATTAACAAATTACTAGTAATTTGATTTTGCTAAGATTTCAGCAAATGTGCTGAGAATTTTTATCTGCTGTATCTTGACTTGTCTTCTTCTTTAAAACAAAGAAAGAAAAGAAATCTAGTTGTCCTAAGGACCGGTCGACAGACCTCATGTATGTGTGTGAAAATGTTGTCCATGACTCATCCACTTACAATATGATGACAAGGCTAAGGGGAAAGACGCATAGTCAGTCAATGCTTCAGGCCTATGAGAAAATGTGCTCCCAGTTGCCTTCTGAATGTGTGGACCTTTTACAATGAGAAGCTTTCCTTGAAATAATGTTTCATTCCAGAATGGTAGAAGTGAGTCCATACCTACAGACATAACAACAGCAAAAGCTATGGCAATTGCAGAATTCCTGAGCATGAAGAACAGCAACCAAATTTGGATGAAGCCAGGGAAATCACAGCGCCTGGGGTGACACATGCTGACAGCTGCACCCCACAGGGTGGTGCTTTCGTAAGTTGCAACAAGATTCACTTTTGAAGCTTGAAGTCTTCTGACTCTTCTACCACAATATGTAAATACAAGCCAGAAAGCAAAAAGCCTCTAAAAATTACAGTAGCCTTCATGTCAACTCCAAAATACCTCTTGAGCCATGAGGAAGATGACAACATTGCAAATGAAAATGCAAGCATCTTGCACGCGGTTCAGCTCTGAGTGTTCCACTCCCACTGCCAACAGTCTGATGTGGGATTGTTTCTGGTTACTCAGACCTGCTCGAGTTAGTTTACCTCCCTGTGGCCTTCCTGACAAGCCCTATGGATAGGAACTACAAAGTACTGGGAGACCCGGATACCAGTCTCAGTTCAATTCGTTCTTTCATTTATCCAGAATTGTTGGAGGACAAGTGAGTTCTCCACTTATTGGATAAATAAGTTTTCCAAACAACTGAAAATTGTCGCTAGCCACAAGATTTTTGCACTTTTATTGTTTAAATAGGAGAAATTCTCCTAAGATATGGAATATATTAAGAGCATCACCCCTGGACCCTGAATGCCTGGGTTTGAATCTCAGCTCCAACGCATGCTTGCGGTGTGATGTTGGGCAAGGGACTGAACTTCTCTCCGCTTCCAGGGATAATGATAGTCCCTGCTTCAGAAAGTAGAAAGAGTAAATAAATTAACCACACAAAACAGAACAGTATCTAGCACATAAAAATTGTTTCAGTAAGTATTATTGTTATTACTGTAAACAGAATGACTAACAGAAAATATGAGGCTTTTCTTCTCAGAATCATCACTATAACCACTAAGCAAAATATTGTATATGTATATATGCATATTATTTACATACATATTTATAAGTATACATTTTATGTATTTGTGTATACACATACTTTATACAACCACACACTCACTAAATCTATATATGTACACATATATATGTATGCATCTATACATGCATATATATGTATACACACACACTCTCTCTAGATGTAAATATATAAAATCATGCCCTCATAACCCACTGGAATACATTAGGGAACTACATTTACCTTAAACGACCTCAGAAGTTTTAGCTTCTAGTTTTTCACACTTTGTGTTTGCCTGTTTTAAACATCCTGGTCTCCTCTTTCATTGGTGGAACTGCTAGCAGCCATGTCTGGCTATGTCTGACTGCTTCCTCCCCTGAGTTGTTCTTCTATTCTTCCATGACTGAGAAACCAGATTGCAAAGCTTGTTAGAATTGTGGCTAACATAAGAGCACAGAGTTCTGAATGAGAATCTCAGAGGCTCCTCTATGAATAAAACGGATGGGCTTTAATATTTGCACACCGGATCACCTGCTATGGCTGATCTGATCACCGTGTTTAGCTTGCTTTCTGATTCTTGAACCTGTTCTTAATCTGTGCTTTTCAGCTGTGCTCACAGGACCATCAGGCTGTGTGAGCAGATTTCAGGGGCTACCATGGTGTAGAAAGGGGTGGCCAAGGTGGGGTTTAATCTAGGAAGGCTCCAAGCCCTCCATTTTTGCTTCAACCAGAGAAGCTCTGAGATGTTTTATATACTGGGCTTCTGCATAGGATGCCATTTGCAAAAAGGCTTCCGCTGCTACATTAATAAATAAAGTTGGCAACTACTGTTCTACAGAGTTATGTTTGCTAGATAAATGGCATCTGGACATACACTCTTTTATGTATGTTTGAAATATTTCAAATAAAAAATGAGAGTCACAAGCCAAACCAACACTAGGGATTAAACATAACAAAAATTCATATGTAATAAATGAGACTGGGCATCTACAGAAAACATTTCCAAATAAACCACCGTAACTATGATTTGTAAATTTTGTAATGATGTTAGGTTAACCCCACATCCCACCACAGAGCCACCACGTTAAAAGTCAATAAATGTAAAATAAGTGTAATTTTAAGAAGTCTAAAATGTTAATGATGGCTACAAATAGACGGGGCTTGAGTTACATGATTGGGAAAAGGGGAATTTTAAGAATGGTTTGTCAGGGTTTTTCCAGAACTCATGAAAAGAGATTCTAACAGTTGATACTAGGTTTCTAGTCAGTAACATCCATACACTGGAAATGGACATATTAGCATGATGGAAACGATCTTCCAGCAACATTAAGCTCCCTCTTGTTCTAACTAACTCCATCTTACTAACTGTATCAGTTAGAATTGTTTTGTCTGCAAGAAATAAACAAAAACCCCCACAAAAACAGCAGTGGTTTAAACAAGACCAAAATTTATTTAGTTAGTTAGTTATTTGTTTGTTTGTTTGTTTGTTTTTTGAGATGGAGTCTTGCTCTGTATCCCAGGCTGGAGTGCAGTGGCATGATCTCGGATCACTGCAACCTCCGCCTCCCAGATTCAAGCAATTCTCCTACCTCAGCCTCCCGAGTAGCTGGGATTACAGGTGTGTGGCACCACACTCAGCTAATTTTTGTATTTCTAGTAGAGACGGGGTTTCACCATACTGGCCATGCTGGTCTTAAACTTCTGACCTCAAGTGATCCACCTGCCTCGACCTCCCAAAGTGCTGGGAATACAGGCATCCCAGCCAAGATCAAAATTTATATTTATCAGTTGAGAAGCCTGGAGGGAGGTAGTCCAGGTCTGCCATGGCACTCGATGGTGTCAGGGGCCCAGACCTGCTCTACTTTATTGCTCTGTTATGAGCATCTGCCATTCTCAAGGTCTCATCTGGTCCAAAATGGCTGCCAGAGTTCCAGACATTGCAGCCACTTTCCAGACAACAGGGAACAGGAAGAAGAAGAGGAAATCCCTCTTCCTTCAAGGAGACTTTTAAGAAGTTTTACAGACCCCTTCTGCTTACCTCATATTGACAACAACTTAGTCACATGGCCACACAGAACTGCACAGAAGGCTGGGAACTGTAGTCTGTATTCCAGACAGTTCTGTGCCCAGCCAAAACTCAGGTACTCCAGTACTAACAAAGAAGGAAAAATAGATATTGAATGACAACAAAAGTCTCTACCATGCCAAATTATCTCCTGATTCCTATTTCTACTTCCTGAGTGAACCCACTCACCAAGAATAGAGTGGTATCCCATTGTCTGCTTTTCTCCCAATTATATTCTTAAAAATTAATTTTCAAATCAATGTAAAGCCACAAACACTTGTTAGGTGCCTATTATGATTTATACAATGGAATACTATTCAGCAATGAAATGTAGCAAATTATTAATATACAGAACTTCAATGAATCTTGAGAAAATTATGCTGAGTAAAAATAGCCAGAAAGAAAAACAGAGTTACATGTTGTATGATTCCATTTATATAAAATTCCAGAAAAACACAAACTCATCTGTAGTGACAGGAAGCAGAATAGTGGTTGTTTGAGAACAATGGGAGGAAGGGGGGCGACTTGCAAAGGGACATGAGAAACTTCAGGGCTGGTGAATGTGTTCATTATCTTGATTGCAGTGATGGTTTCATGGGTATAGACATATATCAAAACTCATCAAGTGGAAAACTTTAAACACATGCAGTTGATCCTACATCATGTATGCCTTGATAAAGCTGTAAAATACTTTTTTAAGAAGAACTTATTACATGCCTGGTGCTATACTAGGCATGGGAGGCACAAGATAAAGGTATAAGGTCCTGTCCTCAAAGGTCTCACAGCCCAGTAAGTCATCCTGATTAATGAATTAGGCTTGTGAGTATAGATAGGGTAAACAGATCCTGAGTCCCAACACACTAAGAAGGCACTCAGCCTACAGACTGAGGGTCAGACTTTGTCCCATAAGTACTCCCAGCCCCCAAACCCAGCCTGAAACAGGCTTCAGTATTTGACAATGAGGAGCACCATGTATACATGCATTGCTCTTTCAACCTACTTCTACTAAAGCTCTGGATACACATGGTGAACAATATGCTAATATCTTAAACATCCCATGGTAAATTGTATATTTTCCACTCTTAGAAATGGGATCCAATGACATGTTCTCTTCACTTTCCACATCTGTGTTGCAGAACCAGGAAGGACCCATGACAAAGAAGTAGTTGGCACAAATGAATCTTCTGATGGAACAGTCTGGTGAGGCAGCTACTTGGAATCTGCTGTTTCCGGTGACCAATACCACTCATGTTTGACATCTCTTGGTATTGCTCCTGTGGTGTGTGCAACAGTGCAAGGGTGCAGTGTTAAGCTCTGAAGGCCCCAGATGGCAGCTCAGGGGGAAAATACTATAGAGCAAATTATTTTCTCTATTTCCTCCTCAATCTTGCCCCCCTAGTTCCTAGAGCTTATGAAGGTCCACAGAATGTATCCTTAGAACTGAAAGCTGTTGCTCCTACCTTTTCCACCTTGAGAAAAAAAAAAAATCACTAGTTGCAGTGCAGATAGTTTCATCACAAAAAAGTAACAGAACTGATCAACTGAAAATCCTTGCGGAAGAAGAGATTTTTTTCTCATCTCCCTTAAGCCCTTTCCATGTTGGTCTGTGGAGCCTGAACATCACTGAGTAGGGAATGTCATACAGGATTGCATTAAGTGCTCCCACAACCCAAAATACCTCCCCTTTAGCCTAATATAACATCTGACACCCTTGCATGAATCCTTTCAGACTAAGATGCTGAGGCTGAATTGTCCTCTGAGAAAAGAAAGCAAAAACCCAACTGGCCTACATCACTAAGGAGACCTTGAAAGATTGATGTAAGATAGCCCCTGATGGAAGAGAATGGGCAGGGCCCACAGGGATGACCTGCAGAATCACTGTGGACCTGCTGGGGGGGTGACAAAGGACAATGGGAGAAGGAGGAGGTAGTGAAAATAAACTTTGGTTGTGCCAAATTTTCTTTTTTTTTTTTTTTATATTCAGGTAATTTTTATTTGCAAAATCGCCAATTATCATTTGACATCTCTTTTTTTTCTGATGTACAATTATAGTAGTTATAGGCACCCATGTTGGTAGACCCATAAACTTGATAACTGAGCAGTTCTATCCAGCTGGATCTGTCCTTTCAGATGGCTTCGCTGAATAATGGATCTTGATTTCCTCTTTCATTGTTATCCCATAAGGGCAAAATATTTTTGCCTGCTTCATGTTAAAATATAAATTTTAATTTACTTGCCTTTGCAATGGGAAGGTGTCTCTCTCTGGGACTAAATAAATAACAAACTTGTGCAGAGTTTCAACGTTGGCATTTTTGAAAATGAACTCATCTTCCCTTCTGCCTGCTGAAAAAGAGGATCGAGATTTTAGAAAGCCCAGCTTATATACTTCTCCAAATAAGAGGGAAATTTGTTCTTCAGAGTATGCCTGTTGAAGCAACATTTTTACCCATACCTCTTAGTCTATTGCTCATTACTAGTGTTTTCTTCCCCTCCCTTTGAAAAAAAATAAAGTATTGAAGAATGTACCGATGACTAAATGGAAATGTATCCATCTTATATAATCACTTAATAAAGACCTATTATAAGCTAGTTAAAATTATTGAACATGAAATAGCAATATGAATATTAGTGATTTAATTAGTCAATACACATAGAGATTTCATATTATATGAAGAAATAGTTTTTAATATAATTGATATTACATAAGGGAAATATATGTTAGAGCTATTATATTAATCTCTAAGCATATAAATAAAAAACTACTCACTTAACTGCTACTGTTTTTTTTTTTTTTCTTTTGGGTTGTGCCAAATTTTCTGAAGAGCCAGCACTTCTTACTGTGAAAAACTGATCTGGAGCAAAGTGATGAATTATCCCATCCAAAATTACCAATTCTTTTCAAGCACTCCTTTCACTTTTATTCAATCCCCTAATAAAAGCAGACTTGCTGTCCTCATTAAGCCCAACGTATTGGCATCTGAAGTGTACTGATGTACTCATATGTTATTTCCCTAGTTACACTGGAACTTGCAACGCCCAAGAACTCTGTTGATGAAAATAATCCTTCTGTAATATTTCCTTTTTGACTGGGCATCTCTGGGCATTAAAAACACATTTTCAATGAAAACTAGGAAGGGCTTTCTTAGTTCTTATCACATTAATCTTGTCATCTAAACTTTTCTACTGGAAAGCTAGCTTCTTCCATAAATCCTTTTCTCAAATTATTTTGAAAGTAACCTGAGATACTACATCAATGAGAAGGCCCAGAGCAGATGTGGGAGGAAAGAAAGAGGAATTAATGACAACCTTCAGCATTTATTCTTTGAAGACTAGCAGCTTAACCCCCCTAAAGAGAACATGTAAATAATCAACTCACTCCTGAAGCTGAAGGGAATAGTTTTATCCGAAACAGAAGTCCCTCATTATAATATGGTTTTCATGATCAGATATTTCCAAAGGGGCAGAGAGGTAGGGGACAGGGAGACATCAAAATATATCCATCCAAACCCAACATTGAAAAGCCCAGAAAACACATTTGGCTACAAGTTGGAGTCAGTTCTAAATCCCAGTATGTCACACAGGCGTCTCACAGCATTCACCACAACACCCCTGTGACTGTCCCAAGCACATCCACATCTTGCCCTTGGACAAGTCACACCTCGTCTCTGAGTCTTATTTCTCACCCATACAAAGGAAAGGTTTGCCTAAGGGACCTCTGCAGTCTGTCAAAATCCATCCTATAATGGATGTAGGATATATCCTACAGTGGAATTACACTGATGCTCTCCTGGTGGCCCTGCTGTGTCTTAATTTTTTGGTGCCTTAAGTCCTTACAGCATGACACTTCTCAAGACTACCCAAGGAAGCACACCTTCAGTGTTTTGCAATACCACATGTTATGGTTTGGCTGTATCCCCACCCAAATCTCATCTTCCATTGTAGCTCCCACAATTCCCATGTGTCATGGGAGGGACCCAGTGGGGGGTGACTGAATCATGGGGGCAGGACTTTCCCGTGTTGTTCTCATGATA